CCCCAAAACCCCAAAACCCCAAAACCCCAAAACCCCAAAACCCCAAAACCCCAAAACCCCATTTTTAAAGTAAAAAATTGAAGTTATTATAGGATAATTCCTGATGAGTCATTACTCTCCTCGTAAGAAATCGTGAGTGAGGAGTTGTGCTGAAGAAGGTCTCTTCTTCGGCTCAATTACAAAGCACATTTCCAGGAAATCCTTGAGGTTTGTAGAAAAGAACTTTGGAATTGGAGGATGATCGAAACGGTCACAAAGTTTGTATAAGTCTTCAATATTATTGCCAATGTTCTCCTCTCCCCAAGGATTAGATCAGGTTGCCATTTCAATAATGGTTCAACCAAGAGACCATACGTCTGCTTTTCAGTCAGACATTTTCTGTCTGACCACTTCTGGAGCCATCCATGGGATAGTTCCTTTGAGTGAATTGTATAAATTAGTGCATGTCATGCTATTTTTGAATGATCTTAGCTCATCCAAAATCTGATATCTTCACATGGCCATTCTTGATTAAGATATTCGCACATTTCAAATCCTGATGTACAATATTCTTACCATGTAGGAAAGCAAGGCCTTGGAGGATTTCAGTGCAATATTTTCTGACTAAATTCTCGTCAAAAGGACCAAACTCCTTGTACATATCGACAAGGCTACCTTCAGTGGCGAATTCAAGGTAGATATAGAAGGTATCTGATCTTATCATCTCGGATCCGATATATTTGATTATGAACTCATGTTCATAATCTTTCAGAATTTTGATCTCAGATTTGAGTGCTTCAATTGCATCTTTGTTGAACTCATTTTGATTATTTTTGAATGAGCATCTTTTTGACAGCGAAAATACTGCCATCGGTTCGATCGATCGCTTTGACTACGTCTCCATAGGCTCCACAGCCGAGGCGTTCACCTTTAGACCATCGCTTGAGGTTACCAAAGACAGTAGCTAGTCCTCGTGGTTTTGTCTTTTGTATTCCGAAATTATTTGGTTTGTATATGAACTTATTCTTATCTTTGAAGGATATTTGCCTCCCAAAAGATTGTCTTTTTTGGGGAACAGAGAATCTTTTCTTCATGAATTCAGTGTTGTTCGATTCAAAGTTCTCCCTGGTCTGAAGCTCCTTGATCTCCTCCATTAAATGTTGTTCATTTGACAGCTGAGTAATTGAAGGAGGAAGATTCTCTGATATTTCGGATTCATTATTATTCGCAGATTTCTTATTTTAGTTTATTCTTTAAAACTGGAGAGATAAATTTACTCGCAATCGAAAGTTGACTGACACCATCTGTGACGGTCTTTTCAAAACTGCTATCTCCAATGGTGTAGTTACTCTTTTTCAGTGAGCTTCCTAGATTAGTTTTGAAAGTTCCTATCTTCTTAGGCTTCACTCTATTATCAAAAGTTCCAGATTTCAACCTCATTGGGTCAAGAAGTTGGTCTGAGACAATTTTTGGCTGAAGTAGGAAGGTTTTCCTTTTAGGAGAAGTTTTACCGAGCTTATTAACTTTAGGAGTTGAGCTAGATTTCCCATCCTCTTGGTTCCTGGAGGTACTTAATAAATCTTCCCTATCATTTTCACTTCCAAGAAGATAGCCATCAAGGTCAACTTCTGAAGGCTCCTGGTCAATTCTTTTGGGAATAGAGTATTGATTCTTATACATTTTTACATTTCTAGTTGAAAGATTTACCTCAAATTTTCGTTTAGGAGAGTTATGCTCGTTAACAGTAACTTTATGCTCAACAAAAGAATATTCACTGGCGCTTTCACTCGAGAGCTCAGAAACGGGCGGTTTTAGAAGTTCTCATTGGATTTCCTGATCTTTCATAACTGGAAGATAATTCCGAGCCCCACTTGTTCTTCTGAATGTGAATGAACTAAAGAATTATCACTGTAATCCTACTCTGGGCTTGAATATCCATTTTCAGAACCCTCAATTATCACATTTCGGGAGGAAGGCTTATTAGTAGCTAATGCAAAGCCAGGAATAGTGAGGAAAGGAGTATCATCATATTCAAAGTTCTGACCATCAGTGAAAGTCTGGCCATTGTCCATGATTCGTATTAGGCTGTCCTCCTCTTTCTTGTCTCCTTCCTGGTGAAAGGATCTGTGCTATGAATAAATAATCATAGAATACCATTGAAGTCATCCATTTCTTGATTTCATGCCTCTCAAGGCTTTTCCTTATCTTCGGGTTCACATTGAGATCTTGAATGCGCGTTCTTCTTTGAGCAAGTGTGATCCCACTTTTAGATTCCTTATTCAGGAACTACTATGATCAAAGAGAGGCTTACCATTTGATTGAAAGAGACCCGAGAGGGAAGTGAAGAATTTAGATCATATTCTTCCTGAAAAGAGCCCCTTTTGCTATGATCAAATGTGTTATTGAGATCTTTTCGAGTACTTCTTCTAGCAGAAGGTTTTAATTTTACCTTTTGATCCTGAGAAAGTAATTTTTGCAAAATAAGTTTAGAATTTCCTCTATTATGAGCAGCCATTGCTTGAACACTCTCACTAGTTGAGTGACTGTTATTGAGAAGCACTCTCGATGATATCGTGTGAACCCCTGCTCTTTTACGAGCAGATTTCATCCTTTTGAGGGCAGAGTTCCTGACTGTAGTTGCTATTAAATCAGAAGACTTCTTCTTTTTGCCTGAAGGAAATCAAAGCCAAGGCATGTTATTTATAATATTATGATATTCTTAAAAAAAGGGGTTTTGGGGTTTTGGGGTTTTGGGGTTTTGGGGTTTTGGGGTTTTGGGG